GGTTTGTGGGTGGCGTGTTCTGTGTGTGTCTGTTAGATCTAGTTGATGGATTGTGTTGTTCAAGTTCTCTTTCCTTTCTTATCTTCTGTCTGGTTATTGCTTGCTAATGTATTTTTAAATTATTAAATAGAATTTATATCATTTTGGGCAGTTTAAATTCAGAATTGATACTTAGCCTCCAGAGTGGGTTTAGAAGTTTTCATATTATTGGTGAACTTTTCATACTTTGTGAAGATCACATCTAGGCTGCCTCACCCAGTTTTTATAGAGAAGAGAAATAACACACAATTCGACTCTTTAGCGAGTTGACCATGGAGATTAACCCCTGGGTCCCCAGGCTCTTAGCCAGTTGCTTATTCCTAAATGACTAGATCTGTTTTTCTAAGAAAAATGTAAGGATGGATTTGTAAGACTTGAGTGCAAGTATTCATATAAGTGGTGGTGGGACATTTTGCGTTTTGAGCCAGGATCGTGGAAGTACAGGCCGACACAGAGTGGGCAGCTTAAAGAGAGCTGAATGGGGCTCTTTTCAAGGGAGTGGGCGTTTTGTGGGAAACTGGAAGGCATGGTGGGGTGTCCTGGGCTGGCGTCCCCCTGAAGGGTCTGGGAGCGAGCGTTCACTGCAGTCTGCAGGGGGCTCTTGTAGCGATGGTGCCCCTGGCAGGAGGAGCAAACCCCACATAGAGAGAATAAGCCCCCTACCTCCCTCACCCCTTCCCTCATTGGGGCTTGGTCAGCCCCTTGGAGTTGCCCCTGGGACCAAGGGCATGGGGAAGGATGGTGAGGGGACAGGAGGCAAGCTCAATTTTCTGGGTGTTTCTCTAATTAGAAAAGGAAGCAGTTGGGGGCTGGCCCCGTGGCTTGGCGGTTAAGTGCGCGCACTCTGCTACTGGCGGCCCAGGTTTGGATCCCGGGCGCGCACTGACACACCGCTTCTCCGGCCATGCTGAGGCCGTGTCCCACATACAGCAACTAGAAGGATGTGCAACTATGACGTACAACTATCTACTGGGGGGCTTTGGGGGAAAAAAAAAGGAGGAGGATTGGCAATGGATGTTAGCTCAGAGCCGGTCTTCCTCAGCAAAAAGAGGATTAGCATGGATGTTAGCTCAGGGCTGATCTTCCTCACAAAAAAAAAAAAAAAAGAAAGAAAGAAAAGGAAGCAGTTGACCAGAAAGAGCTAATTAAAAAGAAGAAACGAAGTCCTTTCCTGAAATACTGTCTTCATGGATTGTTTTCTGATTGCACAATAAAATCTGCATGAAGAAGAACATATTTAGGAAATACTACATTCTGCCTTTTGGTTGATGCTGTTTACCAGTTGGCTTCCTGTACATTCCTCCACTTTGGTAGAATGCTGAATGACAAGGCCTAACTCTGCCTCATTTTCACAGCCTTCTTCCCTGGGAGGGCTGTGGACACACAGCCCTGTGCCCCGCTCTGAGGGCTGTGTTGGCTGGGCTTGGGGGCGGGGCCCCTGCTGTCCAGGGTCAGAGATGACTCAGCCCGTGGGCTGACCGTGAAGGTGCTGCAGGGCTTCTGGGCAGCTGGGGTCCCCACATGCTGGACCAGGTTTCTGAGGAGAGGTCAAGTGAAAGGGCAGACGTGAGGAGGGACTGAGGACCGGGCCAGGGCTGGGCATTCCTCAACCACATGGGCGTCTGTGGTGCCAGGGAGCCTGAGCTACCTGCCTCCCCCTTCGCCCTGCCTGCCATGCTCACTTTGGCCCAGCTCCAGGGTCACTTGCTTGGGGAGCCTCCCCGGGGGAGGCCCTCCTCTGAGCTCCACCCCGTGAGGCCTGGCACCGGTAGCTCTTGGCAAATGTTTGCTGAATGAATGAATGAGATCACTGTTGTTTTGTGTTGATAGTCTGTAGCAGTGGGTAGTTGTTATTCGGTAAAATGAAGAAGATAAAATGTGTGGTGGCTGTAATGGCAATTCTTTCAGGAATTACCTTAAGACTGTGTTGGAATTAATTATTGAACTTGCAAAACGTGAGCAAGTCTGATGGCTGCTGTGCAAGTATCGGCGTGACCTCGTGGAACGTTCATGTGGTGTTGTGGGAAAGGGCTCCCTGGGTGGGCTCAGGTCCTTAGTGGGGTGGTTGGACCACATGATCCATGTGGTCATGTCACTGTCCCCGTCGTCAGCCAAGCCTGTGTCTTCAGTGTTTGTCCAACTTAACATCTTACGCCCTCATTTTAAAGACTTTCCGTACGTTTTAATTGATTGACTGTTAGCATTAGGACTTTCGTTATGGGTGATGAAGCATATAAAAAAGCAAACACTGTGGCTTTTAACATGTCTTTTATTATGGGAGGTTTTAAATGTACAGAAAGCAGGCAGAATAGCGTAACGGTCCCCTGTGGGCCCAATCCCAGCCTCAAAAGTTTACCGGCTCATGGCCCATCTTGTTCCACGAATCATCCCCACCCTCTCTTCCCAAGTTATTTTGAAGGAAATCCCAGACATGATGTCATTTCATCCGTACATATTTCAGTGTGTAGCTCTAAAAGATAAGGCCTCTTTTTAAAAATGCTATTATGACACCCATACGTTTTAAGTATCTTTTTTGAGGTATAATCGACACACACTAAATTGCACATATTTAAAGTGTAAAATAAGTTCTGATATATGTATATACCCATGAAACTCAATCAAGATTGTGAAATATCCCTTCACCTCTCTGTCGCTCTCTTTTTTTTCTTTCTAATTTATTTGTTGAAGAAACCAGGTTTATCCTGTCTGGATTTTGCTGACTGTTCCCCAGGAAGTAGTTTGACTTATAGTTCACATGACTAGGTGTGCCACCTGTGAAACCGCCAGCTCTGCCCGCCTCATGACTGCTTCCATCTCCCCAGCACTCTTTCTCTCTCTTTTTGTGATTTATTGCTTGAAGAAACTGGGTTTTGTCTTGTAGACTCCCCCAGAGTCTGGATTTTGCTGACTGTGTCTCCATGGTGAAATTTAGCATGTTCTTCTGTTCTCTCTGTTTCTTAAGTTGGTGGTTAAAGCTGGAGGCTGGGCCGGATTTTGCCTTGATTTTCTCGGCAAGACTGCTTTGGAGGTGGCAGCATGCTCTTCCACCGGGAGGCACATAATGCATCTGGTTCTGGGATGGCAGCAGCCCTTGGTGGTCCGTGCCCAGACGCGGTAATCCATCCGTGTTGTACAGTGGCAATGCTTCTTCATCAGCTTGCTAGAACTCTTCTATAAAGTGACACACCCCACCTCTATCATTTGGCCACACAGTGCTACAGGTGGCCTGCTCAGGAAAGGCAGGTTGAAGGCTTCATGTTTTCCCATAGTTTACTAGTCTTCAAAAGAGTGTGTTGGCATCATCCAGTGGTAAGCAGTTAATTTCTTTTTCAGAATCTTTATGAACTTGAGGACTTAAATATATAGGATGTGTTCCAGTCTATGGCAGTTTATTGGTGCTCAGATTGTTTCATTGTTGCAGTGGAAGCCTCTGTGGGTTCATCCTGAGTCTTTTGACACGATCCAGTAGTCTTGCTGCCTGTAGAGGGGTCCCAGTCCTGCATTCAGCCATTTCTCCTCCAGGGAACTCTGGTTTCTGGATGTTGTATGTGGGACCTGTAGTATCAAAGAGGAATTAGAAGTATGTAACAACAACTTCTCTAACTTGCAAAGGAAAACAAATCATGGACTAGCGAGTGAGGCTTTGTAGGGGTGTTTCCAGAAACTGCAGAAGTGCTTGGTTCTCCTGGGCTGCTTGGGAAGGTGGGAAAGAAAAAGGAAACTCTGCAAGAGTCTTTCAGGGAAGGAGTGATGGAATAATGCCAGTTTGTTTTCTACTGTGGAAGCTCACGTATTTGCAGGACAGAGCCCAGACATGAGCCACACTGGAGGTGTCACCAAGCACCATGTAGCCACTCTGAGGAGCGAGGGCGTGTCCTTCCCTTGGGACTACCTGCTCCTTCACTGCTCTCAGAACTAGGAGGGCCCATCTTTACACTGCTGCACAATTAAACACAGGATTCTACTCATTGTCAGAAAAAGTCCAACCTTTTGGGACAAGGCTGAACTTATGCTTCAATCTTTGCCATTTATAAAATACCGCTCTTCATGATGGCAGAAGTTCATATGCATGAGTTCTACTCAAATATTGAGCTAAAATAATTTTGAGAAAATTTAAGTTGATTTCAGTTTATGCTGATAGCAGCTAACTTACACAGCAGTCTGATTCTCTAGAATTGAAAATTGGTTTAAAGTTGATGTGAAACAAATATTTTATCATAATTTTGCTGGGCCGGCCCCGTGGCTTAGCGGTTAAGTGCTTGTGCTCCGCTACTGGCGGCCCGGGTTCAGATCCCGGGCGCGCACCAACGCACCACTTCTCCGGCCATGCTGAGGCCGCGTCCCGCATACAGCAACTAGAAGGATGTGCAACTATGACATGCAACTATCTACTGGGGCTTTGGGGAAAAAAAAGGAGGAGGATTGGCAGTAGATGTTAGCTCAGAGCCGGTCTTCCTCAGCAAAAAGAGGAGGATTAACATGGATGTTAGCTCAGGGCTGATCTTCCTCACAAAAAAATAAATAAATAAATATCATAATTTTGCATTTATTTATAACCACTTGTTCTAGCTTTTGATAAAGATTTGCAGTGACCTTCGGCAAAACTTGCTGAGATGTGTTTGAGCCCCTGATGTGTGAGCACCTCACTGAAACTAACCTGCCTCTCAAACTGTCGACGTGACTTTCCCCAAATTAATCGTTTTATTGTTTTCTTATTCAACTGTAGATAATGATTTTTAAAAATAACTCTTCAAATAATGATTACTTATTGATCTATTATTTGTTGATGGATATTTATATTATGAATGTTTTCTCTCATTTATATTTTTAGAAATCATGCATCTGTTATGAGATCATTTTATTTCTTTGCTTAGATGTAATTGAGACTGATTTCACGAGTGGTGAATGAGTATTTAAAAAATGTCTCTAAACCATAAAATTTCTGAATGTTAAGTCAAAAATTTTTTTCCTCTTAGATTCCAGTGCCTATTGGATTTTTATCAAAAAAAAAAGTTTATGGTATAAAATTACTTATACTGTCGATGTAGATCCAGTACAATGATTCAGTAGAAGACCACAGATCAGGCACGAAGGAGCCTGGCTACTGAAGGATGAACGGTGAGGAAGAATTCTTTGATGCCGTCACAGGTGAGTGGAAAGAGAAGATGGTTCAGAGACTGTGATGTGAGCGCAGAACCCTCGGATCGAAGTGTCACTTAGCATTTAGAACATGAGGATTGCTCAGGAAAGCCATGCAAGAAAGAGATGACATGTTCCCAGGCACTGACTTTTAGTAAAAGCATATGCCTTCTCCCAGATTTGGGGAAAAAACTCAGCTTTGGACCACAGGAGATAACAAGAAAGGGCAACTGAGTTTTTAGTCTTTAACAGAGTTGCCCTGGGTGTAAATATTTTTATTTGGATCCTAAGTGACATGGTCAGAATTCTTATATTATTTATACCTAATGATCAAAAAATTATTGTCTTATCACTATATCTTGTCTCGCACTGCTTAAAGTATACCAAAAAATAGGCAGTTTATTTGCTTTCACAACAGCTCTTAACTGTCTCAAAGTTCAGGTATTTTGCACTTTCACATGACCACTTTAAGCAGTGGTGTGCAGCCCGTAGTTGGAGAGACAGTGGTGAGTGCCTGATTGAGAAGAGCGTGTTGCCGGGCGGGCGTGTGTGTTTGTACGTGCTGGGGGCGGGTGGGCTCGGCTGGGTCAGTGCACGTCTGCTTAGGACAGCCCCTCCTCCCCCAGCACTGGGAGCAAGCCTTGAACGCCTGAAGGAACAAGTGCGTAAGAACCACAGGAGGCCCCAAAACTCGTAAAGTTCAAGACGGCCATTCATTCTCTACCCTCCATCCCTCATCGTCAACATTTGGAATATCATTTTTTTTTTCTGTTGAGGACTGTTATTGGTGGAAAGGGACTTCAGGAGACTAATCTAGTCCATTCGCTCCTCCTTAGGTATAGGAATATAAAAATAGCAACTTTGAAATATTACTACAGGCAAGGTTTTTAGTGATGATTTTTCCAAGTGCAGTCAGAGGGGCCACCTCTGTAGTTATTGCCGAAATGACATGGAGCCCAGCACAACGAAGGATTCCTCCTGATGGCTCTGACTGCTCCCCCGGATCCGCTTTGCCGTCCCTTAGAACTTCCATTTCACAGACCCTGTCTGAACGCTTGCAGGGGCTGTCGTCCTTCACCAGCCGTGCTTCTCCTCCCAGCGAAGAGGCCTAGCAGGGTGATGGGCTGGCAGCCCGAGATTACTGACTTATTCTTGTCCAAACCCAAGGAGAAGGAGGCACTGCCCTCCTGTGGTTTTCAAAGGCTGCCGTGTTCAGTCATCTGCGTGATTCAGAGCCCATGGAGGTGGGTCTTAGGAGACGAATTTGTCTCTCCACCTGCACAGGCATCAGAAATCGTTTGCAGGTGAATTCCCACCAAGTGGAGTGGTTGTCAGGGAATCAGGCCCTCGGGCCACCTGGCCCTTGCAGGGTGACCACGTCAAGAGAGGCTGGCCTCGAAGTGTCGCTCCCTCCTAGGGGTCTCATGTGAAGGTCCGTTTCTCCCGGAACCAGTGTAGCCGACACTCCTGACCATTCTGAACTTTTCCCAGAGATTTTTCCCTAGAGAGGACTTGAGCTCTAGGTGGTGTGGTGTTGGCCGGACTCCGTCTCTGCCTCTGGGCCTGGCAGCACTTTTCTGCGTGTCCCTGAGATGGAGGCAGAAGAGGTGGATGGCTAGGTGAAAATGAGTTCTCACCTCAGTCCTTTGGTTCCAAAACAAATAATAGAAAGAAGAAAAATATTAAGTCTCCCAGTGTAGTGAAATACCCATATAAGATGCAGAATCCTGACTGCTTCACTGTCTGTAACATTGATCTTACTTTGTAACTCTGATTTCAAAAGTATTTAAACCCAGCAGTTATTACATGAATGGCTTCAATAGGCAATTACTTCCTCCAAGAATCAGTACCATTAAAATGAAAGGTTTTAAAGTATATGAAAAATATGTGCAGATTAAGGACTCCAAAAATTCACAGCCTGACCTGTTAGTAGTGGGTATCTCTGAGAGACCAGATTACAGGTGATTTCAAGTTTCTCCTTTGCTTCTTTGTATTTTCTCTTTTTCTACAATAAATACTTGTTGTATATTAAAATGTTTAACCTGTTTACATAGCGTTGGATTATTTGAGACAAGACTTCAGTGATGTGTTGCCCTGTTTTCCTGGGCACGTATTCGGATTCTAATTTAAATGAATATTCTACTTAACGGTGGCGGCCTGGAATCTCAGCATTGCAGGAGGTCCATGGAGACGGACACTGGGGTAGGGCAGTGGGGCCCAGGTCCTGCAGGACAGAGTTTCCTTAAGGAGAGAACATTTTCAAGCTAACTTTAGACTGGGGATTAACTAGATGTTGCTTTTGGAGTAGATAGCAAAAATTAGAGGTGACATGCTATTTCAGAAAATAGTGATCATGTAAGAGGTTCATTTTTAATATATCCTTTCAAAATCATCGTGTGATAAATCTCAATACCACATTTTGTGACTCTGTCAGTGTAGAAGAATATGAACGAAGATATTTTTGCTTATTCTCAGGGAAGCTTCACAGCAGATTTGGTTACATTTTGGGTCTGACAACAGTTACCTGCCTGGCCTTATGCCCTCAGCCTCGCTTTCCTTTCTGTGAAATGAGGGGCTGTTGTGGGACCCCAAGCTCCTTGTGAACGCTGTGTCTTCACTGAAGTAGTCTAGGAAACCCCTCCCCGAGCTGGAATGGACACACCCTGCCAGCTGCAGCTCCTGCTCTAGCTTGCTCTGGAGCAGAACTTGAGTATTTCAGTGATTGTATTGGCTGAAGTGAAAGGAAGCATGTTTTCCTTTTTCCCCAGTCGGTGGTCCTTCAGGAGAAAGCCCTCCTGGTGGAGAAGGGTCACAGCCCAGTGTGGTATAACTCTTCTTCGGAGAACTGAGTGGTCCAAGAAGACGCACACCTGTATTTCACACAAGTCCTAAACTTTTCTGCAGTTTTCCGTTTACATGGCATGGTCTCTAGGTTCAGACCAGTCATTTGCTATTTCAATTGCTGTTCGCTGCTTTGATAGATTCTGGCAGCGCGTTTGCATGGCGCAGTGTTCTCGTTCCTTAGAAACTACTGCAGCGGGTTGTGTTTTAGAACAAGAGGCAGAGCATGACCGAAAACCTTGTGCAAAGACAGAACACACTGCAGCCTTGAGATAGGTCTGAACGTTGTAGAGGTGGCTCGCCCGGAATGGTATGAGTCGTTGACTAAAACAGTGAACAGTTGTGTTCTAGTGCCTAAAGCTGCACTCAGGGCAGCCGGCAGTCTACACCCGGCATGCAAGGAACCTGCGACATTGGAAATTCATTCTGAGTGGATGTTCTCACTGGGGAAGCTCCCCAAAGTGTTCCTGCCTCCTCTGCCTCCACCTTTAGTTCTCGGGAAGCAGAGTTAATTATTCCGAAGTGTGTCAATTGAAAACAGTTTAGAGCTTCAGGTATTCTGTTTGCGTAGTCGGAGTTCTTGGAGATAGGCTTTCATATCTTCCGAGTCCTGTGAAAATTACCATTCTGCTTGTCTTGTGCAGGCTTTGATTCTGATAACTCTTCTGGGGAATTTTCAGAGGCAAATCAGAGAGTCACTGGAGTGATTCGTGTGGACACCAGCAAAAGTAATGGGATTGGCAAAGTTGGGGAGAGACCCCCTCAAGAGAATGGACTTCAAAAGCACAGGTATGTCATCTCACATACGTGTTATAGATTCTTGCAGTGTATCTGTGATTGCTCCCCCATCTGCTGCAGGGCCCCCCTTCTGCTCTCACAAGTCCCAGCTGGAGGAGCATCCCACCCCTCATCGCCTGGGCCGGCTCTTCTGTCAGGCATTCATCCAGTGCCCTGCTCAGCCACAGCTTTCAAGACTCGATGCCTCTATCCTTGGCTCCTGGAGTTCAGCGATGGCACTTCTTTGACTACTGATTCCTGTCCTCTGTACAATGACGAGGATGGTCATCCCTGCCCCTGGCTTTGCTGGGATGACTGAGCGTGATGGGCGACTGAGCGCTTTGCACAGGGCCTGGCACACAACAAATGGTCTCTTTGCTATCAGATCCTCCTGCTGATTTCACGCAGTCCTCCTGCCTGCGTTCTGTTGCCGCACATTGACCTCTCACCCCTCGGAGTTTAGGAAGGGTTGTTTAGTGCAGCAATAACACATTCCATTCTCCTCCCACCAACATTTCATTTTCATTCAAGTGGATTCTGATGACAGTGACCTAAGTCCTCTCCAACAGAAGTGAGGACACAGGCAGGACAAGCCATCCGTTGGGTGGAGGCCCCGTGAGATGGTGGTGGTGGGAAGGCAGGCCTCCGTCCACCCCACACTGATTTGCATGTTGGTCAGGGAGCCCTCCGGCTTCCCTCTAGACCTCTGCTCTGAGCTTTAGACCCAAATGCCTATCTGCTATGTCCACCTGGAGGACGCAGGTGCCCCCCTCCTGCCAGTATTGGTTCATCCATTTGCTCAGCAGATGTCAGAGTGCCCCCTGCATGCTCACACGGCCTGTCCAAGAGCAGGTTGGGCTCCCCCTGACCAGACTTCTGCCGTCATCGCCTCCTCAGCTCTGACACACTGGCCTCTTTAAATGCGTCTTAGATCCCTTCAGCCCCCCTAGCTCCTCTGTCACATCCCAGTCCAGCCCACCACCATTTCTTCTGTGCCTCTTGCCGTTATCTCTGAACTGCTTCTGCACCCCTTTTCTGCTTTTATTCATGCTGCGGGCAGAGTCCCTTTTTCAAAGGACAGGTCTGATCATGCCCCCTCCACCCTAACTTAAATGTCCTGAGGAATTGCTGACAGCACGCCTTTTTCCTCTCAGAACTCTCTCTGTTTGGACAATGAGCATAAGGTTGCCCACCTCTTAGGATGAGGGCCAGCATCCTCATCTCTTGCCCCAGGGGCCCGGCCCTGCTTACTCCTCACCCCTAGCTCCCTCTCCCCATTGTCTCCGGTCCTAGCCGCAGGTGCCTCTTGCGGGTCCTCAGGTACACCCAGCCTTTCCTACGTCAGGGTGCTTTCTGCCCTGCTCCCTGGGCCCGGGGCCCTCTCCTCCTCCTTCATCTCTTTAGTGCCTACTCTTCCCTTCTCTCTCCATGCAAGGGTCATCTTGGGGCCTTTTCCTAACCTGCCACAGAGCCACGCTCCCTCCTTGGGCACGCCTCGAAGTGTGTGCCTGCCACGCCGTGGCCACTTACGGAGTTCTTGGGATGCCCACTCAAGAGCTGGTGGGGTGGGCTGAGTGTGAGTTGCTGGAAGCCCAGCGTGTGGTGCTGCGTAAATGTTAGTTTTCTTTCCCATTTTGTCTCCAGCTGCCGTGTTCTCCTCTCTCTCTTGCCCCCTAAAATAAACAGCGTGCCCTGACCCAGCTGCCCTAATGTGACATCCCTGTGGGAGGGCCCGGGGTCCTAACTGGGCGAGAACACGTGCTGTCATGGTTCCAAAGACCAGGGTACTAGAGTGGAGGTGGCCGAGTCAAGGCTGTCTGGTGCAAGTGCAGAAACTACCTGAGAGCAGCTTACATAAATCTGGATTCAGAGAAGAATGCTGGACTGTCTTCTGGAACGCAGGGCAGCTGCCGGGACCCAAGGGACCAGGCAGTGCCTTCTCAGACCCCACACACTGCAGCCCCCTGCCCACCGGCTCTATCTTCAGTGTGCATGGGTCCAGCACGCCTCCCCCCAAATCCGGATTTACATCTCAGGCCCCCCTCCCTCCCAGATGGAGACGGTGTCCCATTCCAAATCCCAGCTCCACATTCCCAGGAGGGAGACCAGGGCTCTACCTTGGGTCAGTGGTCCCCCATCCGTTCAGCTGTGACCAGGGTCTCATGTGCAGATGTGACAGCTGGGGGCTCCCCATGGAGCTGTTGGGAAGACAGCCTGAAAAGAAATGTACCTCAGGAAAAACAAACACGTGTTTAAAAGGAGTTTAACAGCTGGTTTCTGAAAAGATTTTCTTTTTTTTTTTTTGAGGTCAGTCCTGTACTAACATCTGCCAATCCTCCTCTTTTTTTTTTTGCTGAGGAAGACTGGCCCTGGGGCTAACATCCATGCCCATCTTCCTCCACTTTATATGGGACGCGGCCACAGCGTGGCTTGCCAAGCAGTGCGTTGGTGTGCACCCGGAATCCGAACTGGTGAACCCTGGGCCGCCGCAGCGGAGCGCGCGCACTTAACCGCTTGTGCCACCGGGCCGGCCCTGAAAAGGTTTTCTTAATCTGGTTCCCTCTTGGTGGCCTGCTGGCCTCTGTCCGTGGTCCTGCTGTTGCTCCAGGCAGTGGGCCCCGGCTGCCCTTGGGCCAGGTGACCAGTCTCCCTGCTCCTCTGGCGCTCTGTCCCCGGCTCTGTGGAAGGAAGTCGTCCATGTGGTCATCATCGTTTCCCAGGGGACTCTCCAAAAAGCCCATGCAGAAATCTTTCTTTGGGACTTAAACAGTAGTCTAGTCTTTTTTCTTCCTAGGGATGCCAGAATAGAGAAATGCTAATGTTTGATACAAAAATTAAAGAAAAAAATGGTCACTGAGCAGAATCATCGGTTGTGAGTGAATCTCACGTTGGATGAGTAAACACGTGTTACTCTGGTTACTTCTTTACAGGACGTCCTTACCTGCCCCAATGTTCACCAGAAGCGATTTCAGTGTGTGGAGCATATTGAAGAAGTGCATTGGCTTGGTAAGTTCAGATGAACTCATTTTGAAGCATGGAGCTTAAACATTTTTAATTCCTGTGAATTTATTGCACTGCTGGTAGTGTAAGAAAATGTACTCTGCATATTTATAAACAGCATGCAGAAAAGATAATAAAACAAGAAAGGAACAAATCTTTAAAGGGAAGAGGGCAAAAAAGCTAAATTATTTATAGACAGTAGGAAAACAATTCTGTAGGTTAAACTCTTGACGTAAGAAATGTCACATGGGCTTACATTTACCTCAGTGTTCTGTGATATGCTTGTAGTTAGCTGGCTTTGAATAATCTGCATGAAATGGGGGGCCTTCAGCGAGGTTCCTGGCCGCCCACTGACGGTGAGCCACGGGTAGGCCTGCAGGACCCGAGGCTCTGGCTCCGCAGCCCACCCACGCCGGGCTGCAGGCGGAGCTCAGATGCCCAGAATTTGTAACACAAAAAATAGTTGGGTAATTAGTGTCCAGAAGCCATAGGCATTTCCTTTTATGGCCTTTCTTGACTGAGGTATCTAGGCGTGCCTTCTCAGGAGGGTAGAACACTCCCCGGAGTGCTCTGGAGCGTGCTTGTTCACAGGCAGCATTTAGTGACTCAGACTCAAGCTAAGTGATTTTCGGAAAAGTGCCCTTCACTATTGCTCAACGTTCTTCACCCCCATCCTTTGAATGCCGTTTATTTTTTGCCCTTATCCATTTCAGTCCTTTTTTCCAGAGGAAACTTCATCTGTTTTTCAACTTTTTATTCTGAAATAATTTCAGACTTACAGAAAGTTGCAAAATAGTGCAGTGAGTCCTGTATGCCCTTCACCCAGCTTCCCGTCGTTAACATCACACGTGATAACCATAGTACAGTGATTGAAACGAAGGGATCCCTCGTGGAACATTACTGTTAGCTGAGCCGCGCACTTCCCTGGGCTTTCCCCAGTTTTTCCACTGATGTCCTTTTTGGGAGGATGGTATTTAGAAACTAAGACCCAGGGCCGGCCCCACGGCTTAGCGGTTAAGTGCGCGTGCTCTGCTGCTGGCGTCCCGGGTGCGCACCAACGCACCGCTTCTCCAGCCACGCTGAGGCCGCGTCCCACATACAGCAACTAGAAGGATGTGCAGCTATGACATACAACTATCTACTGGGGCTTTGGGGGATAAATAAATAAATAAATAAATAAATAAATAAATAAATAAAATTAAAAAAAAAAAAAAAAGAAACTAAGACCCGGGCACTAGATGTGCTCGTTGCTGGGGAGTGTCACTGCTGCAGGCCTCGGCAGACAGAGCTGGAAAAGGAAGTATGCACGCTAACCCCTGCTTGCACACGTGCCTATTTCTGTACACAGCTCTCCGTTATCTTTTTTTTTTTTTTAATGTGAGGAAGATCAGCCCTGAGCTAACGTCCATACCAATCCTCCTCTTTTTGCTGAGGAAGACCAGCTCTGAGCTAACATCGATTGCCAATCTTCCTCCTTTTTTCCCCCAAAGCCCCAGTAGATAGTTGTATGTCATAGTTGCACATCCTTCCAGTTGCTGTATGTGGGACGCAGCCTCAGCATGGCCGGAGAAGCAGTGCATCGGTGCGCGCCCGGGATCTGAACCCGGGCCTCCAGAAGTGGAGCGCGCGCACTTAACCGCTAAGCCACGGGGCCAGCCCCCTCCATTATCTTTTAAAATAACGTGTTCAGGATTTTTTTCTTTTAGCAGTGTTATCTCCTACTTTTTTGACTGTGTGAACAATTCAGGTCTGGACAGAAGTGTCTGTGTGGGGATATTTGATGAACTCGACAAGCTACTTGATCTTGACTCCAGAAGTCTAATACCAAAAGCATCCATTCAACAAAGTGACGTCATTACATTGCATTCTCTAAGGAACTGACCATAAGATGGACTCAGAGGAAAGCTGAACAGAAACACATGGCATGTTCTCAGAGCCGTGGGGGAAGGTCATCTTGCTGGGTCACTCTGCCCCACGTCACAGCATTCATCAGCTTTGCCCCTTGACATCCACTCTCTTTAGACACTCCTCCAAAGAGGCGACACACCTCTCTCTGTACTGCTCTATCAGCTCACTGAGACAACAGCAACAAACTAGTTAACATGGACAGTTTAGACACATACAGAGGTAGGCAGAATCGTGTGATGACACCACCGTCACCAGCACCACCGCTGTCAGGGCTGCTTCTGCCTCCTCTGCACCTCCGCCGCTTCCCTCCTCCCCTCATATTTTGAAGCAAATTCCAGACATCTTTTCATTTGTAAATATTTCTTATGTATCACTAAAGCATAAGGAATCTTTAACACAACCACAATACTATTATTCTACTTTTAAAATAACGTAATTCTTTAATAGCATCAAATATCCACTCTGTATTCACATTTCCAGTGTCATTGTCTTGTTTGTGTTTTGTGGTCTGTGTGTGTGGATCCTTCCATCAGAAGACCTTTCTGTTGCTTTTCTTGTGAATTTGAGAGCTGCTGATGCCCAGTGTCTAGATCCATTAATTCATTAGGAGTTTCACATTGGAGCCAGACTAATATTCTCACTCTCATTTATGACCTGGGATACTTCTGTATGAGCAAGTTCCCTTTCTCTGCTGTGAATGCAGTTTGCATAAGAAAGTCAGGATCGGGGCGGGCCCGGTGGCGCAAGCGGCTAAGTGCGCGCTCCGCTGCTGCAGCCTGGGGTTCGCTGGTTCGGATCCCGGGCGCGCACCGACGCACCGGTTGTCAAGCCATGCTGTGGCGGCCTCCCATATAAAATGGAGGAAGATGGGCATGGATGTTAGCCCAGGGCCAGTCTTCCTCAGCAAAAAAAGAGGAGGATTGGCAGATGTTAGCACAGGGCTGATCTCCTCACAAAAAAAAAAAAATCAGGATCAATGAGTGCTTCTTTCTCTTTATCAAAGTTTCAAATAATGTATTTGGTTCACTAGCATCACCCAGCATGACCAGTATAACCAACGAGTTTGTCTTTTTTTTTTTTAACTCGTGGAGTTAACCCATTTGATGTGTTTCAGTCCACACGCTGTTCCATTTTTGGCTGGTGATGGCCTCTTCAAGTTGGCTCTTAATCCTTTACAAAAGATGCTTCTGGGTCATCCTGTCTCGGCCACTTGTCCAGGGAGAGAGAACTCGGGACATAGCTGGCTCCGGGAGCGGCTACTGGATTGGTCTTGTTTCTAGGTCTTTTCAGGGGAGAGAGTTAGGAATTGTGTTTTGATTTGTTTCAACGACACTTCAAATTTGGGACAAGATTTATCTAACCTCTTCTGTCTTATGTCTGTGTCTCTTTTCTCCTGCACTGACAAGCCCAGTTTTTAACAACACTGGAGATGATCAATTTAGATTAGCATGTAACTAATGACTCACTTGCTTTATCCCACATATATAACAATTCTGGAGAACAGGATCAACTCCGCTGCCTGCAGTATGTTTACTGAAACAGTACGAGTTTGTTGGCTTTCATAGGTCTTTCTGTCCTTAGGGCGTATCTCAAATCACTGTGCTTTAAAATCACCTGGAGAGGTTTTTCTCCATGTTGGTGCCCCGAGGGGGTCATATGGGTTCATTTGTGTCATTTTATTGATGTTTGGAGATTGCTTTTCTAAATTTAATTTTGTTTTAAAATTGTAAGTCCGAAGTCAAATCTCTCAAACAAGGTATATTCCAAGCATTCTGCTGCCCGTCCCTGTCCCCCCCGTACTCTTCCTTCCCCTAGAGGTGGCCATTACAAATGTTATGGTCTTTCTGCGCGTCTGCACTGTCTCCTCCCCATCTCTTTAGATAATGATCTAAAGGTTTTTCTGCCCATTTTGTGCTCCATGGTATAGCCAGAGCGTATGCAGAGAGCGAGCACAGAGCCACTGGTACTGTTTGGTCACTGCATTGCTCTCCCTTCTGTGGCTGCCCCATCATCTACTAACCGGGCCCATTCTTGGACGTTTGGGTCATGTCTGGCCTTCCACCGTGTGTTTGCCAGAGGACTCGGGGCTAGGCTCCTGGGAAGGGCACTGCTGACCAAAGGATAAGTGCGTGTGCGGTTTTGCTGCTGCGGCCAAATCTGCTGCCCAGCCCCCCGCCCCAGGGCTGTGCCATTTTGCATTCCCACCAGCAGGTGTGGGGGCCTGTTTCCCCACAGCCACCCAGACAGGTGGGGTGTCAGAAGTTTGGAGTTTTGCCACTTGAGCAGGTGAGCAATGGAATCTCCATGTAGTTTTGTTTCCTTTCTCCTGACACCAGCAAGGCCAGCATCTTTCCTGCGCTTAGGGCCAGCTACCTCTCTTTCCCTCCTCTCCCCTCCTCCCCTCCCTCCAGACCAGCTCCTCCTCCTCCTCTTCACCCCCCACCCGCCCCCCACGCCCCTGCTCTAGCCCCTCACACTCTGGTTCTTCCCGTCCGGCCCTGCTCAGCCACGCTTCTCCTGGAGGGGCCTCTGCCTTATCGAAGTCTGTCAGAATCTCCTCCCTAGACACCAGCTCACAGAGTGCCCCCTGTGGGCACTTGTCCCCTAGTGTCCCCCCTTAGCCTCTTCCTGGCTTCTCCCCACTGCACCGTGAGCTCCGTGAAAGCCTGAGCTGCACTGCTCACTTTGTCCACACCATCCTGAGAGCAGGTACCCGAGACACCTTTGCCGATTTTGAAAGACCTTTGGGCAGAGCCACACGGGGCCACGTTATGGGAGGTCTCACCTGCCAGGCTAAGGAGTTTCCACGTCCTCCTGGAAGTGATGGGAAGCTAATGACTATTTCAAATGATGCTTTGGGGCCACGGATCTGGAAGTGGTGTGAAGGGCGGGCACGCTGGAGTGGGGGGTGGGCCCCTGGAGGTGGCCAGTCTGGGAGCTTTTTTGCAGTCCTTGCAGTCTCCATGTGTGGTGCGGGTCCGGAATGGGGCGGTGAGCACGGAGAAGTAGAGGGGCGACTTGGGGGCCGTTGTGCGGGAAGACCTCTCTGGGCTCAGGGATGGGAGCAGAGCTCTCTGGGCGGGGTGTGGGGGCTGTCCGGCTTTCCCTTCCAGGCCACAGCTCACCCACAGGGGGTTTGAAGATCTGTCCTGCACAGGTGACTGAGGCTCCAAGAAGTGATCCTCAGAGCAGGGGCAGAATGGGGGATCTGGTTTCTGGGGAAAGCCTACAGTAGGGTGATGAGTCTTGGCTGGCTCCCTCCAGGAGCTGTCCAAGATCACGATGCCCATCGCCTTCAACGAGCCTCTGAGTTTTCTGCAGCGGATCACGGAGTATATGGAGCACGTGTACCTCATTCACAAAGCCTCCCGCCAGCCACAGCCGCTAGAGAGGATGCAGGTGGGTGGCAGGCTCCTTTTAGGGGGCGCCAGGTGCTGCGCTTAGTTGGGTGTCAGGCTGTAGTTTTTAATGAATGTGACACCATTTGCCTGGCCGCCACGTTGTGGTTGGGACCCGGCACTTCACCGGTGGGGCATCTAGGAGAAGGGCCGGCACAGCTCACGCTGGCTTTTGGATGCGGTCCCGCCCAGCGACTGAGCCCTCTGTCCTGGGGTGTGTTCACACTGGTTGTGGCATCAGGAGTCCCAGCTGCCCTGTCATAGCAGAGCTGCAGGTGGCGGCAGGCCCTGCGCCTCAGCTCCTCTTGGGTCCTTCCAGCACCACCACCCTGTATGTGTGTGTGTGTGTGTTTGTGTTTGAGTGTGACAGACAGACTGACAGACTGACCTTGCCGCAGAGCCTGCCAGGAGGGACCAGGCCAGGGGGGTGGAAAGCAGCAGAGTTCCTGCTTTTTGTGGCTTTGGGGAAGTGGTGGGTGGTAAGCAGCATTTCCCCGGAAGTTCTGTAATCTCAAAACATGTTACAAGTGGAAGACTGAAATGTCACCCAGGAGTAAATAATGACGGCTCAGGAGCTGAGTGCCGGCCACACCCTCCACCCGCCCTTTCCCGATAGACAGCCCGCTCACCCTCCTGTGCTTTGTTTCCAGTCTGTAGCTGCCTTTGCGGTTTCGGCTGTGGCTTCCCAGTGGGAGAGGACCGGCAAGCCGTTCAATCCACTCTTGGGAGAGACGTACGAATTGATCAGGTAAGGGACAAGGCCTTCGTAAGTGTCTTGTACGTGGGGGTCTTCTGATGCGTTTGGTTCTTTCCCGGCATCGATTTCTCCACTCTGAGAAGAGACCATTTGAATAAGGACTTGAGTGAAGGGCTTGGGATACTGTAGGTGAGAAGATATTTCTCATACGAGGAGTGTCGTGTTAATAACATAAAACCCTAATGATGTGAAACAGAGTTGAAAATAGAATAATGTATTCGATTTGGGAATGGAAATACCATGTATGTGAAAGTGCAATACAGAAGGGTAGGATTATTAGTTTTGAACTAAAATGGAAATAGGTACTAGGTAAAACTATCCCATTTTACCAGAGCATCTTAGTGAATGTTATGGAGAGAGCAGATAAACCTAAAGAGAAGAGTAATTGCAGAGAGGGCTTTACTCTGCAGCCTCCCATTGGCTACTGCACAGCCTCGTGCAGGGTCTTAGAAGTGGCTGATGGTGCTGGTGATGGAGAGTGGGCCAGACCACACCTTATTTTAAATGTGACTGAAATTCCTTCTGATGGAGTTTCTTCCAGGCAGCTTCAGCAGTGCCTCCTACTCCACCATCCTGCCCCTCCATTTCCGTCCTGGTCCTTGAGCCCAGCACAGACACTGAGACTGGACCAGAGGGCAGGCGGGGCCCCAATTTGCACTGGTCTTGATGGGGCCCCTGGAAGGGCTAGGCTGGGCCCATGTGGGGTTCTCTCCACGGACCTCGCTGCCTCAGTGGCTGTGCAGTTATTCAGAGAATTATCTGTGGGCTGGTCCACCCAGGTGAAAGTGCCCCCCCAAACCGCAAGTAAAAGAGGTAATAGACAACAACATTGTAGTTTTTCTGTAATCAGGTCAGCCGGGTTAAAAGAGTGAAATACTCAGCCTGGGCTGGGGTTCCGAGAGCGTGAATGTGCGCAGTGCCTCTGTGGGGCCACTTGGTGACATCTAGAATAACTTTTATCCCATCTACGCTTGGGTCCTGTTGAGAGTCTGTTGGAATATTTTATTAAATAAAATTTGTTTTCAATTACAAAAGCATGCTCTTTTTAGAAAATGTGTGTAAAATCGAGAAAAATGAAAAGGACGAGTTCCACATAATCTTGTAAAAGACAATCAGTGTTAACATTTTGGTAGATTTCCTTGTGTGAGAGTGTGTGTGTTTACATAATGTGATAATGTTAATTTGTATCCTTTTTCATTTAACATTATGCCATATTTCTCCATGATATTACAGACTTTTTCTAAATTACAGGATTTCATTGATACTAAGAAACATTTTTCATGTTTTAGCATTTCTGTATGTCATAGTTTAATTGACAGCACTTTTTCTTTCATAAAATAAAATAATGGTGTATTGTGTGATCAGTGGCATCTTGGATTCAAAAAAGTATAGTTTCTTTGAAATTTCAGATCGTGGTTCTCGGACCCTGTATTACATATGCGTTACTAATGATTAAGAGTTTTGTTCGTGGTGAGTAAATGATTGTGGGATTTGAGGATGTTGGTCTGCTTAAAATAGGCGCTGTTCAGGTGTATGAAGAGTTTAAAAGTGTGTGCCGGGGTGTGTGTGTCTGCACTGGTTTCAGACTATTTGGGGAGGAAATGTCATCTTTAGTAATGCGGGCAAGCCTGCACCTATGCATATAAATCACTTACTGTAGTTGGAAAAGCCACATGAATGTTCTAGTTTCAAATTGTAATCTGTTTCTGGCTGGTCCTGGATGGTTCAGCTGCTGGCCGCTTCTCCACAGACGGCTAGTGTGGGAATACCATCTTGATTTTTAGTGTGGTTTAGATGTTGGCTGGTGCTGAGTGGTTGAGCAACTGTTCTCGAAATCTCGTTACCTTGGAGAAAGCTGGACGAGTTAGGAGAAAGCATGATGTGTGCTGCCGTGGGCTTCTTTGTAAATGACAGAGGGGTCAGTAGGTGACTTTGCGTTATGGCATGTCACAGCAAGAGAGAGTGCTTCTCCAATTTAGAAACAGGGAAACTGGGGCTCAGACGAGAGAAAGACTTGCCCGGAGAGTCATTCTTAAGGGACTGTTTTGTTTTGAATTCCTGTAGAATGTTCTTCCTTTTCTAGATATTTCTCTTGAACAACAGTTTCCTCCCTCCAGTCAACATATTTTAGTGCTAGTGTTCGAGGTTCTGACCTTATCTAGCTGTTAGAAAATTATTAGCATTTTTGTTTATTAAAAAGCATCATTAAAATATCTTGAAAAGAGAAATCAAAGCATAATATGAAAAAAGTTCTAGACACTGGGAAATAAGCAATATGGATTAAAAGGATATGAACAACCCAAGAGGCTGAATACAGTGTGACACACCTAATTGTTAATCTTTTTCAGGAACTTAATTCAGGGGTTGAACTAAAGTTTCACACATTGATAGAAAAAACTAACATTCTTTCTAAACTTCAACATACGTCATTTGTCGTGTCTTAATTTGCAGATCATATTTCTGCCGGTGTCTGCTGTATATGATACATATAAGATCCTAAGCATAGAAGATTCCTGTTTGAGGAGCAACATAACTAAATCAAGTCATTCACCAATGTCTTTTTGTCCTTACAGATTGCTCTTGTATAACTAAAAATAACACTTTCTTTTCTTAGACAAGTATTCATTTTGTAAATTACATACCTTAGTAGGCAACCTTTTAAAATCTAATTTTTCAACTTTCCTTCCTCTGTAATGATTAGAAATTCTGATTCCAGTTAAGTTAATAATTATGTAGTTCAGCTTTTATAATTTTTGATGACTACAACTGTAGGTGTATTCACAGTTCTGGAACAATTAAAAACTGACATTTTTATTGAAAAAGAGAATGTACTAAAAATCCTATTTCCTGGCCAGGAATATCTTGGGGCATAAGACATTTCATCACAAAAATTCCAGGAGCCTTAAATGAAGGCTAGAAAGGAACCCCCTTTGGAAAGGCTGTAAAGTCATCACTCTTTTGGTTTATTAGGTAGTGGGTGTCCCTAAAGGACTAAGATGACAGTTTGGTATCAGGGACCTCTAAGTTACTGGTTGTGAGAGATGCTTCTAGACGTGTATGTGCTCAGGGTGGTCCCGTGGAGGGCGTAGGCAGAGGGTCAGGGTGAAAGCCCTCTTCGAGCTGTTGCTTAGTCTGTGTGGTGTTCAGATTTGCCCTGGAGGCACAATTTGTGTGTGTGTGGTCAGTGTTAGGCCAAGTGAGACATCAGAGCAAGTATTGGGTATTTCTGCCCCATGTGGCTGCATGGAGTGGCTCCCGTTTCCCAGCTCCTCTCCCAGCTGTGAGGGCAGCGTGGGCCCTACAGGCCCTCCCGTCGCACGAGCCCACTGGCCCACGGAGCTGTGGGCTCCCCCCGGAGGGGTGTTGAGCCAACTGTTATTGGGTTTTGCTATCACTAATGTGGCTCTTTCTCTGTCCCCCTGGTCCCCTTCTTTTCTCTCTTATTTTTGTACCTAGGGAAGATTTAGGATTCAGATTTATATCCGAACAGGTCAGCCACCACCCCCCCATTAGTGCATTTTATTCCGAAGGCCTCAGTCAGGACTTCCTGTTCCACGGCTCCATCTACCCGAAGCTGAAGTTCTGGGGGAAGAGCGTGGAGGCGGAGCCCCGGGGCACCATCACGCTGGAGCTTCTCAAGTAAGTGGCGGAGTCTTGCCTGAGCCCTGCCTCTCTGAAAAACCAAAATGCGTGCTGTTTATCTGAAAGGAAATCTGTCTTTATTAAGTAGGAAGACTCTTCCTTCTAGTTGAAGGATCAGGCCCTTTCTACTGAGGCAGGCAGCCTTTCCAACAGCAGAAACTTCTTCAAACAAGAACTCCCAATTGGACACCTCACCAGGACGGGGTTGTTACTTGGTGGCACTCCTCTTATGTCTCATCGCTCTTGGAACTCCCCATTTTTTTTTCCCACATGATCTTGATATGCTTTAGTCACTGGTTGTAGTAATAATCTCTTGCTTTGTAACAACCCCAAACTTAGCAGCTTAAAACAACTGCTCTTTTGCATAGTTTCTGTGGGCTGGGAATCGGGAGCAGTATCGCTGGTGGTCCTGGCTCAGGGTCCCATGAGGTTGCAGTCAGGATCTGGTCCAGGCTGCGTCCTGAAGACGGCTGGGGCAGAGCATCTGCTGCTAAGCTTACTTCTATGGCAGTTGGCAGGAGACCTAAATTCCTTGTCACACGGCCTCTCCAGAGGGCTGCTCACCACATGGCATTGGCATACCTCAGAGGGGGCCACCAAGACAGAAGCCATAGTGTCTTTTATGACCTAATCTCAGAAGTGACCACAACCTTACCACCCCACATGTGTGCTGTTGGTCACACGGACCAACCCTGGTTGAGTGTGGGAGGGGATGACGTAGGCTTTGAATTCCAGGAGGTGAGGAACATTGATGGCGCCGTCTTTGAGGCTGCCCACACACCCGTTAAATCTAAATCTAAATGCTTCCTGATCTGATGTTGATCAGAGCCACCTCAGAGCACAGACCGAGCCTCTAGCAAAGCTGTTGTAGACGCCGTCCAGGCCATGGCGTGCAAGCGGTTCTCTGAGGTGTGTCTCGCTAGCTGCAGCCTGCTGTGATGAGGCATTTGACATGATTTTTGCTTCACATTGGCCCGTCCTTGCTGTTTGCTGGAGAACACCATGAGGACCTAGAGCAGCATGGTCTCCCCAGTAACTGCCCCCTTCCCTGCGTTCTTGGAGCTGACAAGCTCACCAGGCCCAATGAGGGCAACCCCTTTCTGGGAAACAGGCCTGTCTTTGCTTTCTTGGGGCAGGGCATGTAGAATTGAAAAGCTGCAAACCTTATTGATTAATGTGTTTGGGTTCCACCTGGGAAATTCAAAGAATTCCAAATATTTGTCATGAAATAATTCTGCATTGTGCTGATTTTTGCCCTCAATTATGGCTCTTGGATGCAGCCTCCCTCAAGACACAGGTCTGGCCATCTGCTCACCTCTCATTTATGGAGGTTTCTTTTCCTCTTGGATAAGTCCATTTGGGGAAAATGAGGAATAAAAGGAAAGGTGTTTAGAGTGTTGTTCCAAACCGTGGACCACTCCCCAGCACCCTGCCGTGCCTGGCTCCCCGGACCGCCAGGACCTCGGGCTCGGGAGCAGGCAGTTCCTGCAGGCTGTTTGCTGAAGTGTTTTTCCTGTTGACAACTTCACAGGAAAGCCATTCTCTTTGTCTCAGTCATCTTTTATTGCTTATTAACTTGTCTTGACATTTAAGTAGAAAGCTTTGTTGATGCTACAAAGGAAAGAAGAAATAAATTTCAAACGAATGCTAAATAAATAGCCACTGTTGGAGGGAGTTCAAAGCGCTGTTGTCCTCTTGTACAGGTTTAAGTCAATTAAGGTTAATTCTGTCTGGTATTTTGTGTTTTCGGCCACACAGTATCTTTGCTGGCCTCTCACTGGCTTGTTTCTGGCGTCTCTCACAGACACGATGAAGCCTACACCTGGACCAACCCTACCTGCTGTGTCCACAATGTGATTATTGGGAAGCTCTGGATAGAGCAGTATGGAACGGTGGAAATTTTAAACCACAGGTAACAGCCCCGGACGGTTGTGTGACAGTCAAAGACTGGGTGGCGATGGACAAGACAACCCACAGGCCGTCCGGAAGCGCTTGCTCAGGACGTGTTTGCACTCTGCTGCCCAGCTTCGTAGGGTTTGCCATGCTGCCCCTGGCTGGCTGCCCCATGCCCCGAGGGCAGGCAGGGCCCCATTCCTGGTCCCCTGTGCCCCTCGGCGTTCAGACAGGCCTCACCGGCCGGAGACCCCATGCCCAGTGGTGGTTGGATTTGATTCTGGCCGGCATTCAAGTCATCATCAGTGCTCCGTTTTGTTTTTAGTCACAGTAGTTAATTTATTTTGAGATTTTAAACTACACTAAAGAGTTGTATGATTACCAGGTGAAAATGTAGCGACCTTCTTCAGACATTGTCCACTGTCCAGTCTGTCCTACCTCGTTCCTGGAAGTTCATGACTGATTGGCTTGGTTTTTTAACAGCTTCGTTGCGATGTAATTACGCATATCATAAAATCCACCATTTAAAGGGGACACAAATGATTTTTAGTAAGTTTGCTAAGTCGTGCAGCCGTCACCACCGGAAGCAGTAGAACGTTTCACCAGCCGTTTGCAGCCCCCCGAGGCCGCCCCAGCCCGGCAGCCTCTAGTCTGCTTTCGCTCGCTCTCGATTTGCCTTTTCTGGACATTTCGTGTCAGAGAACAGAAGCCTGTGTTTGTTTTTCCTGCAGAACTGGAGATAAGTGTGTGCTTCACTTCAAACCCTGTGGATTGTTTGGAAAAGAACTTCACAAAGTGGAAGGGCACATTCAAGACAGAAAGTAGGTCCACGTTGGATGTGTTCACGGTGTGCCCACACGGCATGTGCGCCTTGCAAAAGATGTAGTTATACCAGTGACCTCTGTTCATGGTAGAGAAATTATGACTCATTTTTGTTTAGAAACAACGTTTTGTTACTGAGCATAAAAGGAGATAAAGGATATGTTTCCAGTGTAATTTCTAGGGTGGTGAGTGAGTGGAGCCCGTCTCACCCTCTCTTGAGGGTAAAAGATCTGGGTCTGTTTTCCTGTAATAAAATGGACATGAGAAAATTAGGCATTTTCACTGAGAGATAATACTGCACTTTTACAAACAGAACTGAGATTTTAAAAATTTAACCATATATTTCGTTCTCTCTACTGGAATCCGTTGCATGTTGTCCGCAAAACTCCAACATTAGCTCATGTGAGCATCATTTTCATGTGACTGGTTCACTCCAATCTAAAAATTAGGGACTTTTAAAGTTTTTGTGACCAGAGATGTGGTCAGTAGTGTTTTAACCAGTTTTCTGGGTTCTTTTCCCCCTTAGGGTTAGTTACCGTATATTTTGGGTCTCAAATTTCTTGTTTTGTTTTTTTTTTCCAGTAAGGAATTTGGGCTATATAGGTCAAGAGAGTCCTTCCAGCTCCTAAAATCTATACATTTTCAAGTAGAAACAAGTTGCCAGTGTAAAGTACTGCATGCTTTTGCTCCATCCCTCTCTGTTGGGTACCAGAAGGTCACCCATTCAGACAGCTGAGGAAGCCATTAGACTTAGGACTCTGACCACTTCTCCCACTGAAATGTTAGGACTCAGTGTGCATACATTACTGGACGACAGTCGTGTTAATGAGAATAGCATTGGCCTACACTGTGAACAGCCTCCCCCTTGTACAGACAACCTAGAGCAAGGGAGACTGTGGTCAGCACATCTGCAGAAGCAGGCTGTAGGAGTGGAGTCCAAGCCATGTGACGTTGAAGCCACACTCACCAGCCCTCAGTGAGCACGTGCAAACCCTGTTCTGATTTTCTGGTTTTCCATCTCAAATTTGAGTGAGCTCTTTCCTAATGCTCTGCCTCTTGGAGACAGAGTGCCCGTCAAGCTGTCTCTGCTGAGGGAGGACGGGATGCATTTCCCCGGCTGGTCCCCGCCTGCCAGCTCCCTAGGCTGAGCCTCTCAGACACAGGTGCCCTCCCAGGATGTCCTGTGCCCAGCAGAGCAGCGTTTCCAGGGAAGGTGTGGCCACTGTGTGCTCTCCCCCAAGGAAGATGCAAAAAAGGAAAAAAAAAGGTCTGACACTATTGGCATTGTACCTTTAGGAGTCAGGCAGAGAGCTCTGGTGGCTGATCTGGAAAGATCTCCAGAGGTTATTAAATGAAAAATGCAGGTGGGTAATGATATGGGGTGTCTGATTTATGGTTATAAAGAAAAAGCAAACAGTATCACCCAAATATGAGAGGGGTTGTTCATGTAATTATAGAAAAAGGGCTGAAGGACACACAGTATATAAAAACATAATGTATTTAAAAAACAGTAATCAGATAGGCACATAGGGTTTTAAATTTAAATATACAACGCTCTCTTTCACCCCATGTTGTCTCCCACCGCCCTGTCATCCACCATTGGGTCTTGTACCTTCATTTTCTCTTCTGCGTTGGTATAAGGAGTATGAATAGTGTCAAGTGGCATGAGGAGAGATCCTAAAATGCACGTTTTCATCTTTGGATTTACGTCCGGAGATATCCTAAAATTTGTAAGAAGATGCAAACGGGAATTTATTGCATCGTCAAAATTAAGGTGCTGTGGGGGCCGGCCCGGTGGCGCAAGGGGTTAAGTGTGCGCACTCTGCTTCGGCGGCCCAGGGTTCGCAGATTCAGATCCCGGGCGCTCACTGACGCCCCGCTTGTCAAGCCATGCTGTGGTGGCGTCCCATATAAAGTAGAGGAAGATGGGCACAGATGTTAGCCCAGGGCCAATCTTCCTCAGCAAAAAAAGAGGACGGTTGGCATCGGATGTTAGCTCAGGGCTGATCTTCCTCACACACACACACACAAAGAAAAAATTAAGGTGCTGTGTGTTTAGATGGATGGTTTATAATTGCTGTTAACTTGGTTTTTAAAAATTCCCTTTGACTACAGCAAAAAGAAGCTCTTTATGATCTACGGCAAGTGGACAGAGTGTTTGTGGGGCATAGATCCTGTTGCATACGAGTCCTTCAAGAAGCAGGAGAGGAGAGGCGACCACCTGAAGAAGGCGAAGCCCACGGTAAGACGCTGCTCCTCGCGGGCGTCCTGGGGAGCAGAGCCCTGACGGTGGGCCGGGCTGTGGGCGTTGCTGGAGGTGAGCTTGGGGAGATTCGCCGGCTTCCCCGGTGTGCACGTGGGTGCAGTGGACCTTCACGGCCCTGGCTGGAGAAGACGCATGCGTGGAATCTGTCAAAGTGAACTGCTTGTCGGCTTGGATTCTGGATGCTGGTGGAGTTGACCTGCATCCTGAGTCTGCGGAGGCTGCTGTTGTAAACCTCGGGCTCCGGCTTTCCTGATGGCGCAGTGTCCGCCCTACCCCGATCCCGGCAGAGTCAGGGCACACCTCCATTCCTTTCTGGAAACTCCGTATTCTGGATGCTGCTTAAGAAATCTCCTGTCTTCCTGCATGTTGTTAGCTTAGACTTATTAAAAAGAACAAGTGAATGTCATTTCTGCATCTTGAGTTCTGAGTCCCAGGTAGTGTTGCACAGTGGGAGAGCTTGGGGAAGGATACTGCCCCCTGGAGCTTTGGACTGCTTGTTCTCTTAAGACTAGTTCTTTTTTTTTTTTTTTTTTTGAGGCCACATTGGTTTATAACATTATTTGGGACTAGTTATTCTTGAGCTTAAAACTAGAAGTGATAGTTCAAAAGAGGTGTCATATTTTTCTAGATAATAAATTAGAATTTACCAAGCCTGAAGTGTTCGATATTTATTTAACAACGGTATTCAACCTCTTCTAGGATTTTTTGGTGTTTTTATGTTGTGATATTTCATGTGTGCTGTTAGATAATCTTTTCTAATAATGCTCTTTTACTTAAAAAAAAGAGTTTCACTTAAAGACTATACAGACTTAGAATGTTAAATCCATTTAGTGATGTCTTTTAATGCGTCAGCTTATCTTTGTTGTTCCTTGAGAGAGAGTTTTATGTGAATACTTATCCACAAGCTGTGTCTTTATTTAGCTTCTGGCACCAAAGCAGCAACCTACAGCAGGCGCTAATAAACCCTGGTGCAGTCAGGTGGAAGAATTCTCAAGCTGTGTTTGTCATATTTTAAGTGTTCTCCCTTAACAGCGGCGTGAATAACTACTTTCTGCTTTCTCTGGATCCCACTGATTTTGAAAAATAATGTAGCAGTCATATCTTTTTATTAAGATGTGATGTCCAGTTGGAGTTTAGTCTAGAAATGCTAAGATACCATGAAATCACCAAATATGAACCACTTCTTCATTGACAGCAGAAGTGTAGCATGTAGGAAAGTCTCCCTGTCTCAGAAATACGCCATTTAGGAGAGTTACCCTTACCTTGAACGAAACGTGCTATTTTAGAAGGTGTTGCCATGTCTAATTGTGCTCAGACTCAGGAGAACATCTTTTTATGCTGTGTGTGCTTCTCCCAAAAGGAAAGCAATGCCATGCTGCTGACTTCCCACCCACTCTTTGGGGAGCCCTAGCACAGAGAGCCCCTGTAAAGAGAAGGTGAACACTCCAGAAGCAGGAGGCTCTATCCTCTCCTTCAACTGAGGGAGGGACAGGTCACAGACTGGGAAGAAGTGGTATCTTCTCCTTCACTAGAGAGGCCATCTGGCTCTGCTCAGGGGCTCGGTGATGGGTCTGACAGGTGCTCTGAGAGCAGCTCTCCTTCTGGGCTGACCCTACTGAGGTGTTCTGTGTTTCAGGACAACGGCTCTGAGAAGGCTGATGGCGACGTGGTGGATGCCGTGCCTGAGGTTCAGGAGACTGTGCAGGTCATTCCAGGCAGCAAGCTACTCTGGAGGGTCAACACTCGGCCCCCCAACTCTGCCCAGGTCCGTGCTCCCCCACCCCTGACACTCACTGCTCTGCGAATCTGGGTTTCTCTGCACTCCCTGCCCCCGGCCAGGCCACTCAGCTGTTCCCCGGCCCAGAGTCTAGGCCAGCTGCTGCAGTCCATTGTCCCAAAGCAGATGGAGGGGTCCTCTGTCACTTAATTGGACTGTGCTTCTGCAGCATGACCCTCTGAGGGCTTCCTGCCCTCCCAGAGCCACATCCAGGCCCTGACCTTGGCTTGGCCTTACTTGCAGCAAAGGCCACGCTCTGTCAGTACGTCTGGTGTTGACATGTTGATACACGACTAACGCACATGTCTCTGTGTACACATCACAGTGTCACAGCTGCCCTGGGAAGCTCACCTGGGTGGAGGCGGCCTCTGGACACACTGCGTACCCTCAAAGGTCTACACCAACCACATCTTACTAAAAGGGGTTTCCAAACCAGTTTTGAAAGATTATTTTTCTGACTTGTGAATTTAGATGCTTAAATGCATTTTGATATTTATTTTTGAAAATTGCACTTACAATTTATATTACCTATAATAAATTTATTACATACAATAAAGTATAATACATAAAAATAGTTATATAATGTGTAGTATATTTTATTTTATCTATTAAAATTATATATAAAATATATATATACAACATATTATACAAATGTTTATTGTATTACCATGCCTTATAAACGTAGCAGAGCATGTGTAAAATAAACATTCATCAATAAGTACATTACCTCAACACAGCCACTATTATCATTTTAGTAGAGTATAAAATAGTATAATAGGAAAAAAAGCTTATTTTTTTCATGAGATTCCTTTTAAAAATAACACTCGTTCCTCCATCCTTTGGTTCAGTGAGTATTTATTGAGTTCCCCGGCCTGCCAGGTGCTGGGCAGGCCTGGGTGAGTGGGCCGAGCCGGAGGACAGGATAGGCAGGACCCCTGGCCCTGCAGGGAGGCCGAGGCAGGCTGTGGCCGCACACCTGAGTGACCTGTGTGTGCGTTCGCAGGTGCTGGGGAAACAAGCCAGTGCAGGGGGACCCAGGGTGCTGGCGTCAGTGCTGATGAGGGTGGCGAGGGGGGCCTCCTTGGGATGGTGGGGACGTTTGAACAGGGACCTGAAGGGAGGGTGAATCCAGCCACATGGCCGTCTGGGCCACATTCGGGCAGAGGGACAGCCAGGGCAGAGCCCCCAGGAGCAGGCTGGCATGAGGGCAGCAAGGCCCAGGGGACTGTGGGAGTGAAGGTAGAGGGGAAGGGGGCCAGGGCAGGGGCGCTGATGACTCCACTTTTACTCCGTGTGACTTGGGACACCGTGGGGACTGTGTATGCCTCTCTGGCCACTTGTCGAGATAGACTGTTGGGGGGCAAGAGCAGAAGAGGGAGGCCGGGTAGGCAAGTCCTAAGGTCCAGGCTGCTGGGGAGGCAGCAGGAGGGAGAGCCGGGCTGCAGAGGCCCAGGAGGCCGTGGGTGCAGCGGGCGTGGGGAGCAGACGCGGCAACCGTCTCGGACGTGCTAAATTTGAGATTTCTCTCAGGCATCCCAGAGATGTTGAGTAGACAGATGTGCAAGTTGGAAGTCAGAGTGCGGGGAAAATGCCCAGGACTGAAGCCCAGGGTGGCCCCAGGGGAGACGAAGGGAAGTTCATCTCAGGACAGGGAAGGAGCCCTCTGCCCCTGGGTGACCTTGATGGGAGCATCTCCAGCGAGCAGGTGACACTTGGCCACCTCGAATGGGTTTAGAGAGACCATCTGTGGATTCAGATTGACTGTTGTACGGAAGAGAATGCCATTTATAGTAACAGATTTCTGTGCCTGTTTTTCCAGATGTATAATTTCACCAGTTTTACTGTTAGTCTCAATGAGCTGGAAACTGGCATGGAGAAGATCCTGGCTCCCACAGACTGCCGCCTGCGCCCCGACATCCGAGGCATGGAGAATGGCAACATGGGTGCGTGCCTCCGAGCATTTGGGGAGGGACTTAAGCCAGGGTGCCCAGCCCTGGCTGACAGAATGCTGATCCCCTTTAACTAACCAAGCTTTAGATCTTCTAGAACAATGCTTCTCAAACTATTTGTGGTGAAAGATTTTTAAAAATTTCTAGCCTGTTGCAGACCAATCCTTTTGTAAATACAATAAAATTAAATTACTAGAAAAACAAAATGAGAAAGAATACCTACAAAATACACATCCCCAATTTTTTAGTTATTAGGCTCAATAAGGTTACATTTCAAACAATAAGGTTACATTTCAAAAACCAGACGTGTTGTTCTTTGAAAGTCTGCACAGCCTGTCTGTGTGGGGAACCACTCGGCCTGCAGCTGGAACAAGGCCAAGGCCTGTGCTCGGCACCCGGGCGCATGCTGTGGACAGGCGCCGTGGAGCGCAGCGTGAAGGTTTCCGTGTGACAGTGAGCGTGCGTTGTGCTCATTCACTTACTGTTCTAGTCAGACCAACGACAGACTACTTGCTGGTGTCTCACAGGTGTTCCTGGGTTCTGTTTCAATAGTGTTTTAGTAAAGAAACCATTCTTGGAGGAGTGCTGACAGCAGGGCAGGGGTGGGGAGGGCAAGAGTGAGGTGAGCGGTGCCCGTATTCAGGATTCGTCAGTCATCCTTGGGAACCAGCACAGCAGTTGATCCTGAGGTCAAGGGTACATGTGACTTGTGTTTTGCAAGGGAAATGGCTCCTTGATGTTGGGGTTCCTGTTGATACCGACCCTGCCGGTTAAACTGCCCCACGAGCTTCACACTTGCACATGGTTGGTGCTGTTCTAGAACACCGTTGCCCGGCCCCCGCTCTGCTGCGCTCCTCTGCGTGGCCGTGTGGACATGTACTGCCTCCCGTGCCCAGCCGTGCTGAGGTCTGGGCATCGCTGTCACTGTGCGCTCAGCAGCCGAGCCTCAGCTCTCATGACTGGTTTGGTTCCCTGATAACAAATTTACTATCTGTGGTTTTTTAACCAAAGTGTGACTTCTCATCTTGTGTCGGGGGTGCGAGGGGTGTTCAGCCTCTGCTCTCTGTAGCCCTCCCCACTGCTTGACATAAACTGGAAGCTTCAGTGTAGCCCTGATTCCTTACTCAGCCCTGTCTGCTTGGGCCTAGACCTGGCAAGCCAGGAGAAGGAGCGGCTGGAGGAGAAACAGAGGGAGGCCCGGAGGGAGCGAGCCAGAGAGGAGGCCGAGTGGCAGACGAGGTGAGACCCTGTGGTGGCCATGGGGACACTGAGGAGGGGCCACACACACACCTGGGGACCATGAAGAGGGGCCACATACACACACCTGGGGACGGTGAGGAGAGGGCCATAGGCACACACCTGGGGGCGGTAAAGAGGGCCATACCCACATACCTAGGGACAGTGGAAAGAGACCACACAAACCCACCTGGCGACAGTGAGGAGGGCCACAGACGTACCTGGAGCACGTGAGGAGGGACCACACACACGCCTGGGGACAGTGAGGAGGGCCACACACACACCTGGGGACAGTGAG